AAGGAACCTTGCTGGCATACCATCGGGACCAGATGCCTTGTTCGTCTTTAGCGTGCAAAGACCATTACGAACTTTGCATGAAGAAAAGATAAGGGAGGACATAGTGTTTAAGAGGGGTAAAGATTGAGGAACAGGATAGCTGGAGTCGTTTATAGAAGTGTTGGCAGAAAAACGAGAGTCAAAGAGAGTGGCTTTGTCAGTGGGAGAACAAGCTATAGAATCATCAGAATGAATGAGAATGGGAAAGCTTGAGTTACAGAAGTTTTGGAGAGGTTTTTGGCTAAGGACCAGAAACATTTGTCAGTGGGAGAGGAGTTAAGGTCATCAACTTTACTCAAACTTTCGAAACTGTGCTGTACAGCAATTCCTAGCTACAATAATAAAGCAGAGCAAGTTATATTGGAGGGAAAGGCTTGGTAAGATCGGTGTGCCCGATTCCTAGCCTGGATAGCCATGGAGCAGGCATGGTCAAACTAAGGTTTAGGGGGAGAGAAAGTTTTTGGTTCATACTCAATTTTTTCAATATCCAACACGTTATCTGTGAATATTAGATCAAATAGCGATGGCTCATCCCCACCCCTGGCCCTCGATGGCTCAAGTACATGTTGGTGTAGGAAAGTCCCTTGTACCCAATCTAGGAATCTTGCCCCGAATGAGTCCTCATCATTGTGTGGGTCAAGATTTATCGAAGCTATTTCTTTATGATTAAAATCTCTCATAATCAAAATCCTACATTTTCTCTCTCAGGTCATGTTAACTACTGAGTTTATGACTCCAATAGTACCTTTATGACTTTCCTCATAAACTTCTAGCCTATATTGGTTTCTTGGTGAGTTATATACAACAATTATTATAATGCTCTCTGACCCAGTATATATGCGAACAACAAGAAGTTCTTTGAAGTCAATTTCTATAGCAAAGTTTATTTCTTCAAACTGAATTCTTTCACCTATGAGCAATGCTATCCCTCCACCAGTCTTCTTAGATTTTTCAACCCTCAATATTCTGAGGCCCATAGGAAAAACCGTGACACTGCTTATGTCCTCACTCAACTTCATCTCTGTAACTGCTGTTATATCTGCCTTACTATTGTGAATCCTATCTTTTAATTCTGCTGCCTTACCAGCTAATCCATCAGCATTTGTGTATAATCCTAATGAAACCCTATCCCTTGATCTTTTGTCTTTTTTTTAAGAGAGTAACACCGTGAAAAGCAGAAACTGCCCTCATCAATATAGGCCAGGCCACGAGAAAATACCATGATGAGGGAAAAGAAAAAGGTTAAGGGCAAGGCAGAGATGAGGTAATGTTGCACAAAGGAAAACAACAGACAGAAAAAAAACAGTCAAAGTACAGAGGACCCAGAGATATGGAGGACTAGGCTCTGAGATACAGATCTGTCTTTTTGAAGGAAGAAAGGTCATAACAATTAGGAAAGACAAAAGGAGAAAGAAAGTTCTAGAGTCTGGAAGTAGATGGGAAGAAGCAGTTGCTGCACTGATCAATCTGTGAGCTACAAATCTCCACACAGTACCTGTGAGATGAGGCCGCTTGGCGAGTGTTGCGCGGCCTCGGCAGTTGAGGAGGGCTGCAACTCACCAACTCATCAGAGCAGCGATGGAAGTAGTAGCGATAGAAAAGTGAAAGGGAAGATACCTTATGGCAAAGAGAGAGAGAATCTAGATTAGAAGTAAGAGAAGGATCATTAATGAGTCTGACTGCATTAGATTCAACCCTATCAAGAAGATAAGTAAAGGAAGAAGCACCCCAGATGTGAGAGCAGTATTCTAAGCAGGGGCGGATAAGACCTTTGTAAATTTTAAGTAACGGCAATGAGGAAAAGTAATGACGAAAACGAAACAGAACCCCAATTTTTAAGATGAAGATTTAGAAATTTGGATTATGTGATTCCTCCAAGACAAGTTAGAGGCTATATGGATTCCTAATATCTTCCTAGAGTTAAGAGGGTAAATTTCATTAGTTTCGAAGACAATAGGATTATCAGGAGGAGTAGAAGAAGATAAAGAGATAGCCAGAAACTGTGTCTTGGAGGCATTGAATTTATCTAAATTTTGAGTGCCCCATTCAGATACTCTCTGCAAATCGGAGTTAAGAGTAGAAGAAAGAGTGATACGAGATTGATTACGAGTAACAGATGAAGGTTGTGAAGAAAAGGCAGAGGAAAAGTGAAGGGTAGAACATCAGCAAAGGCATGAAGAAGAGAGGAAGATGGGGATTGTAGAAGATAATTGATGAAGAGAAGGAAGAGAGTAGGTGAAAGAACAGTGCCATGTGGAACTCCACTGGTAACAGGGAAAGGGCTAGATGTCGCGTCATCAACAACTACAGATATAGAGAGGTCAGTAGGAAAACTGGAAATCGAAAAACAGAAAGAAGGGGTAAATCCATAGGCAGGGATTTTGGCCAACAGAGCCTTGTGTCAGACTCTGTCAAAAGTCTTAGAGATATCAAGGGCGACGACAAAGGATTCCCCATAGTTCCTCAGAGAAGATGACCATACAGGCATAAGATAGGACAGGAGATCACCAGTGGATCTTGCCTTGCGGAAGCCGTACTGGTGATCGGAGATAAGTGAGTTGGGTTCAAGGCGTTTCAAGAAGTGAGCATTGAGCAAAGTTTCGAAAACTTTAGCCATAGAGGAGGTTAGTGCAATAGGTCGGTAGTTAGAAGGAATAGAGTGGCCACCATTCTTAGGAACAGGTTGAACTAGAGCATGCTTCCAAGATAAAGGATTGATACTGGTTGATAGAATGAGGCAAAAAAGACGACAAAGCACGGGAGCCAGTTCATCTGCAAATACCTTAAGGAATCTTGCAGGGATACCATCGGGACCAGATGCCTTGTTCTTCTTTAGCGAGCGAAGAACCTTATGAACTTTGCGTGAAGAAAGGATAAGGAAGGGCATAGGCTTAGAGAGGGGAAAAGACTGAGGAACAGGTGCACTGGAATCGTTGATAGAAGAGTTGGCAGAAAAATGAGAGCCAAAGCTTGTGGCTTTGTCAGTGGGTGAGCAAGCTATAGAACCATCAGAACGAATGAGAGGGGGAAAGCTTTACTTACAGAAGTTTTTGGAGAGGTTTTTGGCTAAGGACCAGAAGCATTTGTCAGTGGGAGAGGAGTTAAAGTCATTAACTTTCCTTCTTATAAAGAAAGCTTAAGACCTTCGAATCTGAGCAGTGCTGCGATTCCTAGCTATAATAAAAGCAGAACGAGTTAAATCGGAAGGAGAGGCAAGGTAAGATCGGTGAGCCTGATTCCTAGTCTGTATAGCCATGGAGCAGGCACGGTCAAACCAAGGTTTAGGGGGAGAGAAAGCTTTTGTAGAAGAAAGGATGTACGCCTCCATTCCCGCGGTCATGATCTCGGCAACTTTTAGAGCTTCCTGATCAGGGTTGCCGGGCCAAAAGCAGTAGTCATCCCATGGGAAGTCAAAGAGAAACATACGCAAATTTTCACGATGGGTACTCTCAAAGTGCCAAAGGCAGCTTTGAGTAGGAGGGATTGGTGGTGGGGGAGCGAAAATGGAAGAGACTGAGATCATAGAGTGGTCAGATTTACCAAGAGGGGAATGCACAGAATAAGAGTAGTTTGAAGGGTTAGAAGTAAAAAATAGGTCAAGAGTGTTTGCAGCATGTTTGTGGCAATCAGGAACGCGAGTAGGATGTTTGATAATTTGCTCCAGATCGATTTATCTCCCATTTGTCTGAAAGAACTCTGAAATGAAAATTTTTCTTCTCTTCTTTATTTCTCTCATCATTTAACCTTCTAGCCTCTTGCAAAAAGTTTTTAATCCTTTCCATCTCTTCCTGTGTTCTGTATCTTCTTTGAATTCTTGAAGGTCTTTTAGAATTTTTGTCCTCATCAATATTTCTCTACATGTGACCCCTCTCTCAAAGGTTACTTTTGTTGGTCTTTGCTTTCCGTCCCTAGAATATTTACCTAGTTGGTGAATGTTTACAATATCCTCAGGACCACAAACTACTCCAACTTTTCTTATCAGGTCTAAAACCCCAGCTTTATTTTCTTCATTTCTCCCCTGCCATGTTGGCTCGTGGGAATCGCTTATGCCTGAGATTACCACTGTCTTCTCTTTATCAAGTGCCTGTTTAATCAGTGGATTTGACCTTTCCATCACAACGTCTTTCATTTTTTCTATTACTGTTTCTTTATAGTCAACTGTTTGTATGTTTTCCAGTGCCACCGCCTTCATAGCCTCTTTTACTGCCACATTCCCCATTAGTGCATCAGCAAAGGAAGTTTTCATGGCATCATGTTCCGTATTCAGGTCCTGACACTCTTTGATGTTTTCCTTAATCTGGACAATCCAAGCTGCAATCTTATCTCTCTCAGAAGAAAGCGGTGAACTAACATTTAAATTATTCAGGTTGTCATTCAGCTGTTTGTTGTTATCTTCTTGTTTAGAAATTCTGGTTTCTAGTTCATTCTTTTCCCCATCCAGCTTCATTATTCATTTTTCTAGTTCTTTTCTCTCTTGCCCTTGTGCTTTATTTGCTTTCTCCAAGCATCTTATTTACTATCTGAGTGTTTCATTCTCTTTCATTTCTCTAACCATATTCCAAATTTTATCATCGTGGTTTATAACCGTTGTCTCTAATTCCTTGACTCTCTGTTTTAATTTTCTAACAGCCACTCCTCCTGCTACATCCCCCAGATATCCTCTACCCTCCCCTCCCCAAACCATTAGATGGGGAGGTTAGGGACAGGAACGGCTTCAATTTGATGTTTTCCCTTTCACAGAATATAGAAAATAAGAAAAAAGAGAGAGAGAGAAAAGCTTCTATTTAAGATTCACACATAAGTTTTACATCCTCATATGAGTACTATTTATGTTGAATTAAATACGAAAACGAAACCACGAGTGAGGTTGGGGAAACTGTAATATGAACATTGTGGCATTCAGATAGAATACGTTCATTCCTACTATAGCAGATATATGCTATAAGGTTTGTTTCCCTTTAACCTTCTGTAGTGTAGTTGGTAGTGCCTTGGCTTAGTAGTAAGTCCCAGGTTCCAGGTTCAAGTCCCGGCAGGGGTAAAACAAATTATTTATGTTTTCACATATGTAATGTGCTTATTTGGTTATTGTTGGTTCCGAATGAGATTGGGAGTTGAATTAAATACGAAAACGAAATCTCGAGTGAGGTTAGGGAAACTGTAATATGAACATAGTGGTATTCAGATAGAATGCGTTTATTCCTATTATAGCAGATATTTCCCTTTAACTTTCTGTGGTGTAGTTGGTAGCGCCTTGGCTTAGTAATAATAAGTCCCAGGTTCAAGTCCCGGTCGAGGTAAAAAAATGATTCATGTTTTCACATATGTAATGTGCTTATTTGGTTATTGTTAGTCCCGAATGAGATTGGAAGTTGAACTTAATGTGAAAACGAAACCACGAGTGAGGTTGGGGAAACTGTAATATGAACATAGTGGCATTCAGATAGAGTGCGATCATTCCTACTATAGCAGATATAACCTATAAGGTTTGTTTCCCTTTAACCTTCTGTGGCGTAGTTGGTAGCGCCTTGGCTTAGTAATAATAAGTCCCAGGTTCAAGTCCCGGTTGGGGTAAAAAAATAATTCATGTTGTTACATATGTAATGTGCTTATTTGGTTATGGTTGGTCCCGAATGAGACTGGGAGTTGAATTAAATGCGAAAACGTAACAACGAGTGAGATTGGGGAAACTGTAATATGAACATAGTGGCATTCAGACAGAATGCGATCATTCTTGCGATAGCAGATATAAGCTATAAGGTTTGTTTCCCCTTAACCTTCTGTGGTGTAGTTGGTAGCACTTTGCGTAGTAATAATAAATCCCAGGTTGAAGTCCCGGTCGAGGTAAAAAAATGATTCATGTTTTCACATATGTAATGTGCTTAGTTGCTTATTGTTGGTCCCGAATGAGATTGGGAGTTGAATTAAATACGAAAACGAAACCAAGAGTTAGGTTGAGGAAACTGTTATATGAACACAGTGGCATTCAGATAGAATGCGTTCATTCCTACTATAGCAGATATAAGCTATATTGCTTGTTTACCTTTAACCTTCTGTGGTGTAGTTGGTAGCGCCTTGGCTTAGTAATAATAATTCCCAGGTTCGAGTCCATAACGGTGTAAAATAATTATTCATATATATATATATATATATATATATATATATATATATATATATATATATATATATATATATATATATATATATAGTATATGTATGTATGTATATATGTATATAAATATATATATATATATATATATATATATATATATATATATATATATATATATATATATATATATATATATATATATATATATATATATATATATATATATATATATATATATATATATATATATATATATATATATATATATATATATATATATATATATATATATATATATATATATATATATATATATATATATATATATATATATATATATATATATATATATATATATATATATATATATATATATATATATATATATATATATATATATATATATATATATATATATATATATATATATATATATATATATATATATATATATATATATATATATATATATATATATATATATATATATATATATATATATATATATATATATATATATATATATATATATATATATATATATATATATATATATATATATATATATATATATATATATATATATATATATATATATATATATATATATATATATATATATATATATATATATATATATATATATATATATATATATATATATATATATATATATATATATATATATATATATATATTATATATATATATATATATATATATATATATATATATATATATATATATATATATATATATATATATATATATATATATATATATATATATATATATATATATATATATATATATATATATATATATATATATATATATATATATATATATATATATATATATATATATATATATATATATATATATATATATATATATATATATATATATATATATATATATATATATATATATATATATATATATATATATATATATATATATATATATATATATATATATATATATATATATATATATATATATATATATATATATATATAAATATATATATATATATATATATATATATATATATATATATATATATATATATATATATATATATATATATATATATATATATATATATATATATATATATATATATATATATATATATATATTTATATACATATATACATATATTATTTAATTAAATTTCGACATTTTCAGTGCAAATACTTCAAAAAAGAGATAACATTAAATTTTGTTTTATATATATTTTGTAATAAGTTTAATTTTTCTTTCTTATTTGGTATCTATATCTAAGTGAAATTAGTAGATAATTTGTAATTGGGTAGTTTGATGCAGATTCCTAATATTTTAGCAATTCTTTAATTTGTTGCGTGAATATTTAAATAGTTTTAACATCTAAATTTTCTAGTGTTATTTAATTAACCACGTAATACTCTCCATAGTTATTAGTAATTTTAGCTCTGGCTACATGTTAATATACAAAATGGTCTCTTTTGGCAGCCCCCCTACCCCCCCTTGGATGTTCCTCGGGACGTTTCTTTGAGTATGAATATCCCTGAGATTTTTCCCTTGCATAATAGATAGAGTATTGAAGGTGCCTGCCATGCTGATATGTCTTATGCTTTGTCTGTGCATAAGCATAAAGCCTTGCATTTAGTGCATGAATGATCAGGACTCATGTATATGTATCCTTGTTAACCTAAGGGCCTCCTTGGTAGAGATAATTACAAAACAAGAATTTTGTATCAGAAGGACCCTAAGATTATACAATCAGGGTAGGAACCTAGAGGGAATCAAAGTCGAAGGTGGATCAACCATTTTTTTCTATGGTGCGCCATTTGTCCCCCATTGTCCCTTGAGGTGCTCAAGGTAAATCCTAAATTTTATACTGTGTGGGGCAATGATGGACACATAGCCTTGCTGATTAGGTGACTCTGCGTGCCTTTCAAGGAAGCATCACAAATAATGATAGTGAGTGCAGTGGGGCACTATCTCTCTAAACTGTGACGGTTTCATAGCAGGTATTATGCTTAGAAAATTAGCATACTCCCAAGCCTCACTTCAGTAATATTCCTAATTCTAGATTCAAGATTTTCTTAGGGGAAGATCATATATTATCATAAATTTTAACCTGACAAATCAAAAACTTTGTGTTTTTAGATTGGCGATGGTGGATGTTGCATGGCTTTATAACTGAGATAAAGTTTATTTTATGAGATGCAATTTATGTCTGAGAAGCAATATGTTTCTCTTGATATGAAGATTATGCTACTATTATTCTTCCTCTCACATATGAACTTGGGTGATGCTCACCTCTACTCCCGTTCAGTTTATATAGGATATCTGTAGTACCATTGGTTAGGTAAATTAGAATGAGAGGTGCTAATTAATGTACATTTCATTTTTTTAAAATGTCCTTAAAAACACCAAAGGGTGCTTTTTTATATATTCTCGGGGCTTGGGCTAATGAACCTGTATCAGGTCAAGTATATAAATACTGCTGCTTGTTTCAGAAGCACTTTATTTCTATTAAGAACCTCCATTCATTTCTGTTCTTGTGTTAGCTAGAAATATAGATAGATCCATAGATAGACTGCAATCCTAAATAGCTTAAGAACGAGAGAGAGAGAGAGAGAGAGAGAGAGAGAGAGAGAGAGAGAGAGAGAGAGAGAGAGAGAGAGAGGAGAGGAGAGAGAGAGAGAGAGAGAGAGAGAGAGAGAGAGAGATAAGCCACCATGAATTTTGAACTCGGGACTAACATGACAAGAGAAAAGCGTTTTATCCCCTTTCTCGCCTATTAAATAGTATCCAAAGCTTGGTGAACCCCTGGCAACTCAATAGAGTAAGTGAGTACACTATTAGATTCTAGGGGTCAGTGAGGGAATAGTAGCCTAAGCTGGGTTGCTTTAGAGTAGAGTTCGCATGAACGATTCCAGACAAGGAGAGAGATTTATCTGAAGACATTTAGAAATTCACAATTGCATTCTATATGATTCATCTAGCTAGCCTTGGATGTTAGGGAGGAGAATTAAATGTGTTCACTGGCCACTGGTGGGTTGGAGAGGGTATTAAGCTAGAGATAAATGGTCAAAGTGGGCGTCCCCCTGTTTGGGTCACATTAGTAAATGTTCCAGTTTCCCATCTTATACAACTTCTGTCGAGTAGTGGACTAAGTTGCATTGCTTCAGACTAGATTCGCAAGTACGATTCCCTGCAAGGATGGGAGGTTATTTAAGACATTTAGAAATGTGTAATTGCCTTACATTGCTTTCATCATTATTATTATTATTTTTATTATTATTATTATTATTATAATTATTATTATTATTATTATTATTATTATTATTATTATTATTATTATTATTATTATATTATTATTATTATTATTATCATTATTATTATTATATAAATAATAATAACATTAATAATAATAATAATAATAATAATAATAATAATAATAATAATAATAATAATAATAATAATAATAATAATAATAAAGATAATAATAATATTAATAATATTAATAATAATAATAATACAAATAATAATAATAATAATAATAATAATAATAATAATAATAATAATAATAATAATAATAGAAATAATATTAATATTAATAATAATAGTAATAATAAAAATAATGATGATATTAATAATAATAATAATAATAATAATAATAATAATAATAATAATAATAATAATAATGACAAAAATAATAATAATAATAATAATAATAATAATAATAATTTAATAATAATAATAAGAATTGAAGAAGAAGAAGAAGAAGAAGAAGAAGAAGAAGAAGAAGAAGAAGAAGTAGAAGAAGAAGAAGAAGAAGAAGAAGAAGAAGAAGAAGAAGAAGAAGAAGAAGAAGAGAAGAAGAAGAAGAAGAAGAAGAAGAAGAAGAAGAAGAAGAAGAAGAAGAAGAAGAA